AAGGTTTCTAGACGCGGAAGGGAACGTCATCAACAAGCCTGAGTCCTTCATGCCTTTTTCAGGAGGTAGGGTCATGGTAGGGCGAAGTAATAAAATGCTATAAAACTGTATAGAAATGATTACATGGTTCCTATTGGACGGAGGTTGGTTTAAAAGGCAATTCGTTTTTTTCAAGGCCGACGTGTGTGTCTTGGGGAGCAGCTGGCGAGGATGGAACTCTTCCTGTTCTTCTCGACCCTCCTGCAGTCCTTCACATTCAAGACGCCAGAGGGCGCTCCTTCTCCACCCACTGACGGCGTCCTTGGTACGACGTTGGCCCCGCACCCGTTCAAGCTCTGTGCGATCCCGCGTTAGTCTTTTTTTGGCAATAGTATCTCTATTAATGCCCTCTTGCACATTCAAATGATAATTATGAACTCATATATTAGTTATAGTTACTTAGTAGGAAAATTACTGATGATGCTATTAATTCCTGCCAACGCCAAACAAATTAAACCATCCCCTTTACAGCCCCGTTCCAGGAGTAACCAGATTGACATATACGTGAGGAACATAAAGTTTTGTCATTAAAACGGTCCAAACCTGTCACGATCTTCGCCCGCATAGAGATGTGCCCATGCCATGTTCGCGGATGGATTTTGATGAAGCGCGCAGTGATGGGGCCATTGTATTTCCTTACAAGTCATCGAGGACCCCCGTGTCTCCGTCGTGGTTCCCCGGGAAAACCTGCAGCACATGAAAAAATGCGTACATAGAGTCCATTCCACTTCACCGTGCGGCTGTTTGCTCCCATTGTTTCGATTGTTTAGTGTTTGTAACCATTTCTAAAAGAATTTGATAGTTTTTAAACATTTCGAACTTGGTTTTAACTCTGTAAACAGTTTTCCCTAATCATAAAACAATAGAAACATTCTAAAAGCCATGTACGATGTTTCGAAAGAAGTCTAATTAGACTTCTTTCGAAACATCGTTGTGGGGGTGAAGCAACAATTGCTGTGGGGGTGAAGACTTGAGGTTTGAAATACAGGTAAATGTGTTTTAAAGTGCTTGTTTCTAGTGGTTTTAGCATAGAATTCCAATGGGATGTTCTTTGCTGGTTCCTGCCCTGAACTAACTTGCTGAATAGGCAGCAAGGAATACGGAGTTCGTTCCGGTTTACGTTGCGGCCAAAATCACATCTTTGTTACGGCTAACCTTTAATAACCTGTAGCTATTTGAGTAGCGTTAATTGCATGTCGGTCTAATAGATAAGGCCATGTTGATTTGATTATTTGGATGACATCCGCGCGCGCATGAATTTTCGGCCGTTTCCAAAAAAAAAGGTTTCAACCATACTGTAAATCGTGCAAAACAGTTGCTAAATGAGCAAAAATATACCATGAGTTGCAAGGAAAACATTCAGAAACGATACCAATGTCGTAGAATGCCAAAATCAAAGGAAAAAAGACAAAAATGTAAAGAAATGAATTCGAAGAGTAGATTATTCGCCATAACATATTCTGTGCCATTTGTTCAACCTTCATGACCACGTAGATTTCATAGTGAAAGCAACTTTTTTTTTTGCAAAACTTTTTTTTATTCGCACACGCGCATCAGTTTTGGGGTTCTCAGACTATGTCATCCATATAATCAAATCAACATGGCCTAAGATAAGTAAACCTGCACACGACGTCTAGCAAAATTAGACAGAAATGCAATGAACGATTGGTGGGAAGCTGAGTAAGTTGTATTTTTACCACATTCCTCTAGGTGGCGCTCCTATTCCATCCAGCTGCTACGTTTTCAGCACCAAGTCTAGCTGGGTCCTTTGAATAAACAATGCGAAAAATGAAAAAAAGCCAATTTATAAGATCTCTCTCGTAGTCTTCTCTCTCTCCCTCCCTCACTCTTTCTCCCTTCACCTTTCTCTCGCACTCTTTCTCTCTCCCTCTCTCTCTTTCCCTCTGCATCCCCCTTCTCTTTCTTTCTCTCTTTCACAATAAAGTTGCTGACAGGGCATGTTGCAGCGTGTTAGAGAAACATGCTAAAAAACACTGCGATGAAAATGCTTTTGATATGTAGGAGTAAGTGAAAAAAATTAAACATCCGTGACAGAAGCTAGCCTTTCAGAAAGGCAATATGACAATATCTGCTGCTTGTACAAAGCAGATGTGACACTTTATCATGATTTGATCATGATGGCACCAATTAGTGTACGGACACACAGGTGGATCTTCCTTTGACCGTTTCTGCCATGTACAAGTAACTTACACCAATTTACACTATTTTCTAGCAACCATATGGGTCTGGTGGAGACACCATGGTTGCCAAGGGAACGGTACTGTGACGCATACGAAGCATACTGCCTCATGAAATATTCAAATGTCATTAACTCTACTGGGTCCTACCGTCCGCATTGTTGGTTCTCTATTACTATCCGATGTCCATTGAACAGAAGGCCGGTGCAATCAGACGAGTGAAGGGAAGGCTCCGCCATTGTTGGAAAGATCGAGCTAAGTGCCTGCACACTAATTTGTGTCATCATATGATGAAATCATCCTCACAGTAACTACATTCCTTCCAACAGATCGCGTGACAGTGTGGGGTCGTGTGACGTAGCGGTAGAGTGCTCGACTCGGAACCAAGAGGTCCCGGGTTCGAGTCCTGACACGACCGGTCTTGTGCCCACGAATTTCCACACTTAACTCAAGTGAAATTAGTATATATTGTCCTGTCCTGCATCTGTCCTCTGCGTTGGTGACGGTATAAAATAAGTTGATATAACTTAAGTGTGCCGTCACCATGTCCTGTCATAAAATGTTGGAATAAAAAAAACAGATCGCGTGAGAGATTAACATCCACACCCTCTCGTTCGTTCCGCCTGCTACCAAAGAAAGAATCCTACAGGGTGTGTTAGGCCACACCGACTAAATTTTATGGATGACATCCTCTGAAGATCCCCCAAACTAGTGCGCGCAGGCGAATAAAAAAAATTCCAGTCAAAAAATTGCGGCGGCACATAGCGACATATACGACAAGCCGGCACAAGCTTGCCTTTTGTGGTATTTATGAGTCGGCACTGTACGTATGTACTGAGTTCTTGACATGGAGCTTCTGTAGCCAGCGTGCCGTCCTCCAGAGTACCACCGGTTCCGTATTGTCACTAGCTACCTCCGACTACCCAGGCCAGAAACTCGGAGGAGGTGATCTTTTTTTTTTTTAACAGGCGAAAATCAATATGCGCGAGCGGATGTCATCCATAAAATTAAGTCGGTGTGGCCTTACTGGAAGACAGACAAACATTTCCCGACTATGCATGCTGTACAAATGACTAATAAACTGGTGTACGTACCAACTACCAAGTACCTAATACCAGCCCAGAAAAGAACAAGAAATAGCCATGCCTTCAAGTATCAGAGTTATCAACCAAAAATTGAGGTGTTCAAAAAGTCATTCTTTCCTAGAACTATCACAGAATGGAACTCACTGTCATCAAGTACAGTAGGGGCATTGTCATTAGAAAGCTTTAAACAATGTTAAGAGTTAGATGTTCAAGGGTTAGGTGTAACAAGTCGTTCGGTGTATATGTAATGTAGTCAGCTGCCGCCGCGCCGCGTGTCTGCGAACTGCGAATCTGGTGTGTTACGCCGAAGGGCTGTTATACCGGCTATACAGAGACAGATACAGATACAGAATTGTCCACTGTATAATAATGAACGCACAAAGCTGTTTAACCTTCTTTCCGCAAGCTTGTTCATCGGAATTTGTTACATTTCATGCTATAGATAAATTTAATTTCATTCTAGAAGGTAATAGCCCTTATGGTAAATATATCAGAGTTTTAGACCTTAGAACAAGTTGATTTATCTAAAGTCTTGTACGTAGGTTCATCCTTTCTTTACCCACGTGTCTGTTTTCATGTCTAGTTAGGGACCTCACGAAACTCGTTATTGTGTCAATAAAGTTCTCTATCCATGAAAGATCTGTGTGGGGTGTGTGGGTGTCATCTCCTGCCTTGTACGAGTACAAACAGCAGAAATTACCATTGTGAAAGGCTGGCTGCTGCCATGAATATTTAATTTTTCATCACTTACTTTTAAGCCCCTTATTGAAGATATTTTCGTCACAGTTTTTTGTTGTTGTTGTTTTTGAAGCATGTTTCTCCAACACGATGCAACATGCCCTGTCAGCGACTCTATTGTGGAAGTGGTATAGAGCGAGAGAGCGAGCGAGAGAGTGAGTGTGTGTGTGTGTGTGTGTGTGTGTGTGCGTCTGTGTAAGAGAGAGAGAGAGAGAGTGAGAGAGAGAGAGAGAGAGAGAGAGTGGGTAGAATAGTACGTTAGACACGACGATGGTGATAAAACGTATGTGCCGTGACACCGGCTCAGTAGTTCCACGTGCTGAGCACAATTACAAGGCAATTAACACAAGTCTCTGTAGCAAGTAATCCACGAGCATTGTAACCGACTGCATTGGGCATGAATATTTTAGATGTCTTTTCTGAACTCTAAGACCAGGGATTTCGCCAGCGTGCAGGTGTTTCTGTTTTTCTGTATGTTTATCAGCCCATGGTAACAGAGAGGAGGCCGTTTACACTACTGACTCACTTTCTAGGAGGGGGATGTGATGCACCGCGTTTTTTAAAGTGTAATAACCTGGTTCGTTATTTGAGGTTACACGTATACATCTGCCTGCCTTTTATATACACTATCTATTCTGTATTATAAATCATTGTTGATTAGGTTACTTCGACAATGATGATGTCGTTTAAAAGGGCACTCCTACCCATGGTCGTAATGGTATAGCCATGACAGGCTTGCTGTCAAATAGTTCATCTCCAGTCAGCCTTCTCAGTCGCAGTTGAGCTGAGAAGCGGTGCTTGACTTTTTGGAAGCACCACTTTTGGCTTTCTAACCCGACTCAACCTGACCATTTGGTCACCTGTTTGCATGTTTTCCTTGCTTGAAGTTACAAGTTAAACCAACGAATGCCAAAACCGCTAAATTAGACCAGCGGTTCGGTTAGTTGAAGGAGCGTACTTTAGGCGCCCTGACCTTACCGAGATACTCTGTGAGAAATGTGCGGGACGAACATGGTATTTCTCCGGGTGCTGTTCTGCGTCATCGCGATCACCTGCGCCTGGCTGGTGACTGCCGAGCAAGGTAAGTGACTGGCTACTACGTAATAACTTAGACTACAAGCAGATGTTAAAGATTCGAATATAAGCGTTTTATTGGTAATTATTTGGTACTGTTATCTTTTTTTTTTACGCCGGCTGAACGACGGGTGGCAAATGGCCCTGCCAATATAACAGGCGACCACAGTGAGAGGCGACGTTTTTAACCAAACTAAACTAATATTTCTCCTCCTTCCAGTATGCACGTATCCCCTTGGAATGGAATCTGGCGCCATACCTGATGCCAGCATCACTGCATCCTCTATCTCTGTTGGTTTCGAGCCCTACCACGGTAGGTTGAACGGAGTTGCCGGTGTGGGCGCTTGGGCAGCCAGAACCAACACCATCGGGGAATGGCTACAGGTTGGCAGACATTTTGGTATATTAAATAACCACGATTCTACCTGTTGAATCCGGAATGGGGACGTATTATTTTAGGTGTCGATGATTTATGCTAGTGCTATATTTGTTTATATGTTTGATTACCAAAGTAAGTAGGTGGAGTTTGGGTTTTGAGTTTGATGGACAGGGGCATGAGTACGTATGAACGGGTGTACAAATTGCAATGCATACGATCGCCACACACGATGTCAATTTCGCTGTTTCTCTAAGGTGATAAGTTCTAATTACCTTTTCCGAAAAATATCCTATGTTGATGACGTCGAATCTGTTGTGTTTAGAATGGGAATGTCTTTGAGAATGCTTTGTTGCACTGACAGTACCTTGCTGTGCACAATGTGGGCTAATTTCAGCTAGAAGTGCATGCGCACGCTATCCAGATATATAGTTAGTTTCCTGGCCTGTGATTCACGTGCATTCTATAGCGAAGAACATCTGTGCATTCAGGTGGATTTAGGAGAAATGAAGACCGTCACAGGCACCATCATCCAGGGTCGCTCCAGTGCAGACCAGTGGGTGACCTCCTACAAACTACAGTACAGTTTAGATGGCCTCAATTGGATCACGTATGCAAGTAGCGATGGCTCCGAAGAGGTAGGTTATATGCAAGATATACGAAGCAGGAACACTGTCAAAAATCGATATATATATTTAAAATACACACAGTTGTAAAACATACATGTTTAATAAGAATATATATATATATATATATATATATATATATATATATATATATA